GCGGTTCCACGCCCATGCGACTTTCCGGGAACTAAGATGTCTATACAAAATTCTCATGAACAGCCCGATCTAGACAGCATAGGGAGGCCTCTTTATACCACGTGGTGTCGCAATCTACGACATATGCATGTCTCATCCAGGCCTGGATCCAATGAGAACTCGGAGAGACGCTCATTTCAGCTGACCAGGGAGGTCGAAGGCATTCCCAGCACTGATAGATTGTCTATCCGGCGCAATTTTGTATGATGCCTAATGATCGCCACCGATGGCTCGCTGCGGTATCTGCAGGAACCATGGCCGCCGTTAGACAACCGGCAGAGGCCCCGGAGCCAATCATAATTCTAAACAGGCTCTCCAGGGGAGCGATACAGTCCAAGGGGATTGTAGAAATTATCTACACTAGAGCTTACTATCGCCACAAGAATATACGATCCTAGCATAAGATGATGAGCCACATATTGTTATATCACGCCCCGGGGTGGTTCCCTCTTTGGGCGATGTCGGTGCGACGAGGTCAGGCATCGCTGCGATCACTAGCCACATCATTTCAACGCAATAGGGTAGTGTTAAGGCAGGTATTGATGGATTATCATTGAGACACGTAAAAGTTGCCACTTCTGAGCCACAAGTCTAAGAGACTTTCCGACCGAAACACGGTATCACAATAGCCAATGACAGGGCTCTATCAGGTAGAAAACTTTCCTCATCCGGCAGTCATCCGCATTTGCCACATACCTCCTAAGTAGACCAGCTGAGGGGGGGAGATCTTCTACCGACAACGGCCCTTAGTGAGCGCTCGCCGACGACGAATCACCTCTGCGTATGGTCCCTGAGTTGACAGCGGTGCCACAACTTGCCACAGCGCCCGCGTTGGTACGTACGCAAATAGAGTCGGGACGTGGCTCGACGAGCAGAATTGGGTCAAGCCTCACCATATGTCAAGCTGGGGCGGGGCGTCGACTTTACTGGGCAATATTGCTCGAGGATCTTCGGATTCTGACGACAGTGGCTAGTGAGGTAGCGTTGACGGCGGTGAGCTAACGCCGCAGCGATCGGCGGTCCGGTTACTGTTTCCGGACAGGATCATGGCCGAGAGAACTCCGGCACTTATCAGTCCGAAGCTGGTCCTTAGCAAGCATGAGTTTGCTGTCGTATCGGAGAACTAATACATAGACCTAGCCTTTAGCCCTCGTGGCATCTTACCCCGAGCTTATTGCGATATGATAGGATGTTTAATCAATGATGTTGTTAACCGGTAACTATGATGGAAATCTACCTAGGTAGCTGACTTAATACACTATGTGTTGTTAATACGTGCGGAGGTTTGCTTCTACGGATGTAAAGTCGGCCTACTAGTGCCTTATGCATGCCACAAATGTAAAGAGTAGGTACGTAACAACGCTAGTTATGTTTTATATTCGCTTTAGTCTAATGAGGATATCCCCTTAGTTTATATTCTGTACGTAAGTAGAATCAGTCCTCGGGTAAGTCGGGATATCTTTGCGAATTCAACGGGTGACGTCATACATGGTTTACTACCTAATGTACCTAAGACAGCTTTGGAGGGGTTACTAGCAACTCCATCAATGAAGATAAAGGCTTTGGGTTTACGAAATAGTATATGTTGCAAGTCGGTTTTAACCCAATTAATTAATATTTATGCAGATACGGCGCCGGAATTCGATAGCTAAGTGGGTTATGAGTTTAATGTGTATCCGAGCTGAATCGCGCTATGTTATTCTAAGGCCTTGGTAGTTCGTTAGGCTCGTTGTTATATGAAGCTTCGTTGGCTAGCTTTGGATCTGTCGAGGCAGCGAGGTAAGTATGAAACAAGATCTTTTTACTTTTTCTTGTGGACTTCTGTGATAATACTTGCTAGCGTTGAGTTATTTTACTAAATTATTATTGATAGTGAAGTGATTACGAGATGTATCAAACCATTACGTATCTAGGGTCAATCTGCCTTCAACTGAGGAGGTATCACTCTGGTTAAAATACATGATCCGATAACCAAACTCTTAGATTACATGAAATATATAATAGCAAGATAGATTTTCCTACGCCTAATATAATATTATTTAGAGTTGTAGAATGACTGTCGGATATACCACAAGATGTAATGTCTTAATTAGGTGATGTTTATGTTACTTCTCTTTTTTTACCTTAAAATATTTTGCCAACTTTAATAGTTTAGAACTTTAGTTTATGAAATCGATATAATTATAGAAATATTGAGCTGTATGTGAGTCGGCTTGCCGGATATAAGGATTACTATTATGAAACCAACCTCCTGTGTCGTTAACTAAGCAAGACGTCTGGGTACTTACGGGATAATAACTCAGGTAGATGAATCTATATCTATTATATAGTAAGCTTCCATTTAATTTCGAGTGCCCCCTGTATAGTTGTGTATATGATGATTAAGTTAGTGAATCAATTTAAACGAACGAAATTCACCCATGCTTCGTTAGGAGCAGAGTCAACTGACCACCAATAGGAATTTACCAAGGTGGCCGGCACACCCGTTGGACATTCCAAATGCTTTCACGAAGCTCGTATCAACCCAGGGCAAGACCAAAACGCCAGAACAGATGTGTCGTCTATAAACCATGTCTAAGGACCTGAAGCAGCAATCAGAAACCAGCCACCAATCTCGTCCCAACGATCACAGTTGTACCAATGACTGAATTGCAACTGTTATCGGCGGTATAGACGTAAAGAGAACAGTGATAGTGCCAAATAGGCTCATGGCAAGAATTGACAGCGCGGCAGCTCGCGGATCAGTACGCAGGAGCAGCGCTGCTGCAATGGCAGACGAATTGGCGCCCATCGTCACACCGCGAGTAACGTAATCATCTACATAAGTGAAGTGGTCAATCTCAGCTCGTCAATACGTATGGTCCCCGATTGTAAATACGGAAAATAAAACGAGGCATAAAATCTGGAAAATGTGCTCTTACCTTGAGGTATCTTAAGCAATGCCAACATACGCTCGCCAACCAGCACTCCGACGATCCCACTCATAATAGCCAATGCCGCTACGGTGTTCAAATCACCTCCCAAGTTAGCCGTTGCTGGCACAGCAAGCGCCAACGTGAGGCTACGGGCCGCAAAAGCAAGACTACGCTGAGCGCTGATGCCAACAGCATAGCAGATATACGGGTACGCGAACAGCGAGCCGATGGAGATAGCAACGTTGGGAATTATGATCGAGGCGAAGTGTTGCTTTAGCTCACGCCGATACCGATATACGGGCAGTGCAAAAGAAATAATACTGGCGTCTAGCACGCTGGCAAACAAATTACCAGCCCCCGGGAGCCCGTGGCTGCCGCTCCAGAGCTCCGTGTATCCGATACCTGTCTTATACGCAGCAAGGGTAGACGGGAGGCTGTCGCCTTTGATGAGACCAAGGACCCAGAGGCCTAGAACCGTGAGTAGAGACGATACGAGCACGGGGTGGAGGTACCGTCTCCAATTTTCCGGTAGGGACATCGCCAGGAAGTACGTTAGGATGTTGAAGCTTAGGTGCATCGGCATCGCGTACCCGGCGGCGTAATAGACGGGGAGTCCTACGGATAGGAAAATTGCGCTCCAGATTAGAAGATCTAGCCTAGTGGTGATGATTACGGCCCAACGGTCTGATCTAGATGGAGGTATGGGGGCTTGTGGGGGTAGGCTGGGACGATCGGTGTCGCTGTCTACGAGGGTGCGGCTTGACTGTGAGTCGTCTGCTTGATGCCCCTGGATGGTGTCCCGTGATGGAAGGGGACGTTGCAAGTCTACCTCGTCAGACTGGGGGGTTGAATGACCTCCGTGTACCGGGGTTGTTGTCATAGGTATATCCTCGCTATCGGGACTAAGCTCCTCTGCTCGCTCCGTCATAGCTCGCTTTGAAGACCCGAGCATAAGCTGTAAGGCCCGGGTCATATAGGCGGCGAGAGCCATCATCACGAGGAACCCGATAACTAAGTAGAGTCAGTAGGCTGGACCTTGGAGGCTTCGGGGCTTCTTTCTAGCTACCCACCAAAGATTGCGATTATCTTAAGGACCTCAATTCCCCCTATTGACGGGCTCAGGGGTAATAAGACGAACGAAGGCGTGAATAGGACGTTTATCCATCGCAGCGCCCAGCCGCCCTGGATGGAACGTCAGCATATAAGGTCATCCATGAAGAGTGCAACGAGGCAAGTTACCGGGATCTCGATAGTAGCCACGACGCGCTTTGTCCGATGCTCACCGAGAAGTTGCTCGGACAGCAGCAGCGCCGCAAAAAGGATAATGAGACATGCTACCGACGATGGGAAAGGCACGGACCCAAGGCCGAATAACTTATTAACCCCAAAACAGGCCAGCAGCATCAATATTATGCCAAAGGGCACGTAAAGCCATGATTGTATGATGCTGCTCCGGGAATGCCGGAATGCCTGTGCGGAAGTCGTTCGATTATTAGCATGTACTCGCATACATCAATCAGGGGAAGATTTACGAAGATCATACAAGCTGTACGGCGGGTAGTAAATCGTCTACCAGTCGTTCACGTCGGGCTGCCATGATGGAAATATCATTAGATTAATATAATAAGAAAATTAACAAGGAAGGGTATATTGGAGTTATTCGAAGACTCATTCGTTGTTGTATGTTAGGTAAACCCGGATGACCGAGGCATTTTCATTGTTCTTATGGGGGATGATCTACCAGCAACTAGCTAAGCCACATTTATTTCCTCTCGCACCGCCGATCTCGGCCCACTGGATGATGGCCTGTCATGGTTTTGCTCCGGACTACCGGTTCGGAGATGCCAACGAGATTGATATACGTCCCTATCTGTGATCAAAAGCGGCGATGAAAGATTTGCCCATAATGCTGCTTCCTACAGACCCTTATATTTAAAACAGCTACCTCTTCTTCAATTCAGTGTAGACTAGGACTTTGAGTTCGGGTTCTCTAACCGGGTAAGGAGGCGGTGATTTCGTTTTGGCAAGTTTCCAAAGGTTCTTCAGTTCGCTAAAGACCTTCCATAGTTCCTCGTGCATAAGGAGACACGACGTGTCGGTTTCTCGCGCCTCGCAGTAAGTGAACACCCTGTCCTCGAAGGTGTCGAGTTTGTTCCGTTCCGCAATATCTACAAATTTACACAGGCATATTAGCATATTTTCTATACATAAAATAATTAAAGTCCAGCCTTGTTCTTTCCCGTAAGGTATAAGAAGAAGCACCTACCTCGGAACTTGGTGAAGATATCCGAAGTCACCTGAGCAACCCTTCCTCGTGTCTGTGGTTCTACCGGTGCGGGCTCAGGCTGCTGGCCACCGTCCTTCTTAACAATTCCCTGTCGATTTCGCTTCTTTCCTCTTGGGGCCGGCGGAGGAGGCTTGATGGTCTGGCTAGTCAACATGACCATGAAGTAGAAGATCTCAATATCCGGAAAGTACGGGATGAAGTCTTCTAACGCTTTGGGACAAACTACTGTGACCTTGTGGAATGTATTAGGACATAGGCACTGGAAAGTCGGTAGAGGCCAATTGTACATGATGGAAGGCCTCCAATTATTCTTGTACTCGACCGCGACGCGCCTAATGCCCGCCAACTTATCGAAGTCGCCAAAGCGTCCAATATACGGGTTAGAGATAAGACCGTGGAACCTGACGCAGACAAGATCATGGTCACAATCAATTACAGCGCTAGGATTATTCCCGCGCTGGGGACACCAGAGTTCTTTAATCGATGCTCCTTTTAGAAGTCTCTTCGCGATCTCCCATGAGTATTTATCGGCCTTGGCAATGCTAGCACGAGCTCTCCATACGGAGGGATCAGAGTCCGGCTGACCAGAAGGAGTGAGCTCGATCCTTTGAACGTGAAGATCGGCTCCCCGTGTACCTATCCACGGTCTGACCTTGAAGTAATGGACACCGGGAGAAAGCGAGGCCTGGCGCCAGATCTCAAGCTTTAGCTCAGGGATAAGTTCTTCGTACTTCGAGAACGACGGTAGCGGCATTGTTGCTGACTGAATCCGGAGCGGCACTGTCTTGAAGACAGGATTTAGTGCGGTGCCTATGGTTGCCAGTTAGATGGACATCCGTCTGCGACAGATTATAATGGTAAATATTGGGTAGATATAAAATACGAACCTTTACGGGACACGAAGGGTAACACGTATGAGGAGACGCGTGTAAAAAGACGCGAGTAATGATTTGCCGAAAGGCAAAGTGTCTTGCTGTTGAGAGGGCGAAATAGAGTATGGACGACGACCAAGACAGGAGCTTTTATTGCAAACGGTAGGAAGGTAAAATGAAAACCTCCACGCGCGCAAATGAAAGTGTTTCCTAGAATATGGAAGACGGAATATAGAAGGGTAGTGTAGGTGGATGTCAAGGTGGATGAGTAGGTAGGTAGATACTTGGTTTTGATATGGGTGATGTGGGAAAAAGTCGATGAGGTTGGCAGTGACTGTGGTGAAAAGAACGGAAGGGCAAGTGCGAAATATTACACAGATAAAGAAGGTGTGATATCTCGTTGCAAGTGCCAGGAATTATTTCCACCAGGCCGTCAGGTTGAATATCTGTAAATATGCGCTTCTGGGATAAGACGATGAAGAATGCTATGAAGTATTGGCAGCCGGCAGCAGCTTCACACCTTCTCTGGCAGTAGAGTCAGTAGAGTCAGTATGATACAGGTCAGGGAGGTAGCTGAGTGGCCAATGCACAATGTCATATTGGAATGATAAATCATGTATCAGCTGAGGAAGGCTGCTTGCTGGGTGGAAGTAAACCGGTGGGGCACTGCAAAAGATATTCTAGGCAATCGCCAAAATATAGAAAGGAGTCAAGTAGTCAAGAATATTACAATAGCTCGGTACACTAGGGAAAATATCAGGCCAGATCTAACCCGCATACTCAGAGGAATACATGAAGAAATGCTTCACTGAAAAAAAAAGTTAATCCAACCCAAACTATAAGAATATTATGCTTGGACCAAAACAATCTTCTATGAACAAGCTAAAGCTTAACCTACGGGATAAGATAATACGACTATAGGAAGGGAAAAGATGGTTTAAATGTCTAAAAGTCTGATTGCGTGTAAGATTAAATAGACAGTAACCATAAGGTATATATCAACAGCAATAAACTGATGTAGAGGTAACAGCATTGTATAAACTAGAGTACAAGAACGTTCAACCCCCATTCACCAACTCGTCAAGTTAATAATTCCCTAAATATCATACATTACTCCATATTTCAAATCAGAATATTTAGCCTGTCCCTTTCTCGGATAATAGGTACCTAGTCACCACCTTCAGCTTGGAGACATACCATTTACGAGATATAATATAGGGGTTTAAAGCTTTGCTTTATATGAATGCTTGCTAAAACGGCTCTGCAGTATGCGGCAGAATATTGCCTGTTTTAACAATACCTATGGTTTTCTTTATGGCGATAATTCTAGATAGTAACAGATCAGGTTAAACTCGTATGCTACATATAAGGGGCATGATAGCTACATAATGGATCAACTAGAGCGTGCTAATCCAGATCCCGAGTCAGTATCGTAGATACTCATGAGCGTACGACTTAGACTATCTCTAGCTCAACCATTTTAAAAAAAGATTTACTCGACTAGATCTCCTCGCGATGTTCTACCTAACCGCGGGATCAACAAATTCATATGTAATTATTATTATTATCGAAGTAATAGCTCAGAGTACCAGTAGTTTTCACCTTTCTACTCTAGTCTCGACTATGACCCTAATAAGTCCCAGATAACTTACTTAATACAGCAGAACATAGGTATGCTCGTTGAAGCTTTGGCAAACTGTAATTCCTTGACTGAATCTAAGTACTCTCTGTCAAATCGAAATCGTCGCCGCGAAGAGCAGGTATCCTCAAAGTCCTAATTATGTATAGGTTCTACTTATGCTGGTATCCTTAACGTGGTATTGGGATATTCATTTATATTCGGCTCGAAAAAAAGGAGACGGGAAGGAGCTCATTAGAACAAAGTCCAATTGCAAATATCCAATCGCCGCGTTGTCGATAGAAGAATGGTCTTTCCTTTCTAGGAGGACCATCGATATTAACTGGTTTAGAATTCCAGTTACGACGAGGTGGCCGATGGTCATTTGTAATAATCTTTACACAACCTTGACGATGATAATGCAGCCCGTGATGTCAAAACTGCTTACAAAGATACATATCACTTAGAAAATAAAAATGCAATACGAGTAACTAATTCTTATCATAAATACTGCGACTACCGTATTAAATCACAAGAAATAGGACGTAAAAATCTATTCCATCACCTATTTAGTCCTACAAGGTAGTCATACACGTGACGTCTATTAAAACCCGGTGGTGTCCCGATCGATTAAGCACCGGCAACCACGGCCAAACTCTCGTAGATGGTCTTCTTTACGGCGTAGAAAGTGCCACCAAGCTGGGTAGCCGGGCCACCATCTGTCGGGAGACCAATACTTTCCACGTCAATCCGCCCTGCCGTAGTCTTCCGCACAACTACCGATCCATCGACTAGCAACGTGCCTTCGCCCCTAAACTCTGCCGTATGACCCGACTGCTGCATAGCCTTTCTCAGATCTGCCAGTCGCAAATCTCCTACGTGCAAAGGCTGGGCAACGGACCGTGTCGCTGAGGCCATGTTAGTGGGAAGAACGTCAAGTGTGGGATCGACAGGTTCTTCCTCCACTACTTCAGCTGGAAGTTCCGTCGAGTCCTCAGTTTTCAGGCGCTTGTTCGCGGCTTCCTCGTCGCTGCGCACAACTAGCTCCTTATGTATTGCAAGCAGTCGTCCTGTGACTGTCGCAATGCTTAATCCACGAACGTTCTGCCACTTAAGCTGTTTTACAAGTGAGGGAGCCAACTTCACTACCCAAGCATTCGTGTCAACGCTCGCATCGATGGCCGTTCCCACGTTTGGCGTGTAGATACTGACGGAGCCTTCGGCTAATAGCTTCTTACAATCCGAAGCCAGCGTCAAGGTTTCTCCTTCGCTTCCGCCGATGAGAATGAGCTTACGAGGTTGGATCAGGGGAATCAACATGTGCAAGCTTCGCTTGTCATGAATACCGCTGAGGTCAATAAACTCGACCTCTAGCTTGATAGCAACGGTCTCCGTTGTTAACACCAGTTTCGACGGGCCCAGGTTTGTTTCGTCTGGATCGTCGGGAATTCCATCGAGTTCGTCTTCGACGAGACCATCGGATAATGCCGGTTCAAACTCATCGGTAATGTTACGAGTAAGGTGTGGTCTTTTAGATGGACCGGAACCCTGGTTTTTGCCAGAAGTCGTCGCGTTGTCCCACTTCCGCTTCTTTCCAAGTTTCTCCTCATCTTCATCTCTTCCCATATGTGCTTGGTCCTGACCATCGTTATCGTCCCTTTCTTCTGCCCTTAGGAAATCTTCCGGTCGAATAAGCTCCCCATAGTCGTCAGCACGCTTTCGACGAACTGGGTGTGGAAACATTCTATCTCGACCCTTTTTATTTCTTATGTCAAAATCGTAAACACCCTTCTTCTTTAGTAATATGTTGATACCTAGATCTTCGTCTGTCAGAGCAGCCTTTTTCCTACTAGCCTGACCCATCGTAGTTGCGGCATTCAAAGCCCTGCCCTGTTGCTCATTGTCGGAATCCTCCGACTCCGACTCTGATTCGGAAGCCTCATCGCCTACATCCCCTGTCGCTTCAAGCACATTGGCCCCTCCACTCTGAAGAGTGGTTTGAAGCTGACGCTGCTGTGCAAGCCATTGCTGATAGATGACGAGATCGTTACCTTCTAAGGGTTGCCTTTTTGCATCCGTAAATTCGAGCTCGTGAGTATCTGTGCCATTCGAGACCTCACTTGCTCGTTCCTGACTTTCTTTCCACCATGTCCAGAGACTTCTCGCCAATGACGGACGTGTCTCCGAGGCTAAGGACGGGTACTCTGTTAAGATGACCATGTTTTTCGAGTCCTGCGCAATCCGTTTCAGTACGTCTTTCGAGAACCCCCACTCGAGTGTAGAGTCACTTGCGAGGATGACCCTGCCGGCCGTAGAGCTGTCGTCGGTTTCGCTACCGAAGACCTTCTCGATTTGACCCCTTCTGTCTAGTAGTTTCAGGAATCTAAAGTCGAATGGACCAGCTTCCTTACCAGATTTGGCGCCATCCGTTGTGCCGTTGACTCGCCTAGAGCCATCGACTACAGCTTCAAATTCTCGAACGATGCCATCGTCCATCCATTCGAGCATGCTACGGGCATATCTCATAGTACTGTGAATATTGCGCCCCGCAAGGTAAAGTTTGGCGGATTTTAGCTGGCCGTCGCCCGTTGCCGCATCCGCTCGCCACGCATGGTCCATCAGGTAGGCAAGCTCTAAGACTCGAGCGCTCGAGTCAGTGGGTATTAGAACGGTACCTCCCCTTGTAATACAGGTCTTGACCTTGTTCAACAATTGTTCATCTCGCTTGCTCCGGCCTCCAGCAATAGACGTCTTCTCGCCTCCTCTGCTGCTACATACTAGAGCAGTCGGCTTTCGTAGCTGTTCGATAATCTCAGCGCCTCCACCCCCTGCACCACCCAGCCAGGCCGCTCCCGCGAACACATTTTCGCGTCCTTGGTTCCAGTCTACGGCGTACACAATGGATTCCAGCCCGTGTTGTATATGCCATATGGTGCCTCCAAGGGTTCGACCCGAGTTGTACGCCGTGATCGTTAGGCCATTCAAGGGAGGGGAAAATGGGGAGCCAAGTGGTTGGTGTGGTTGGGAGTACTTTAGAGGATGTATCAGGGAGAAATAGGTTGCGATCTCTTCGGGTGTGGGAGCTTGTAGAAGTATGTCGGAGGAAGACTGTTGAGCTGCATACGAGACCTCGTCGAGAGAAGTAGAAGATATGGTGGTGGCAGCGACGGGGGTAGAGGCGTAAAGATCTTGAAGTAGGGTGCGACCTAGAGCGATGACAGGTGATGTCGCATATACTGGGATCGATGTAAAACGGGGGAAGTGTTTACAACAATGCGCATAGGCGGCAATGTGGTTTGTTGTAGCATGCGTTAGAAGAATTAGGGATAACGTGGGCACCTGTCTGTAGGCAGAAAAGATGTTAGTTATTCGGTTAATAATAGTATCACAGTATTAAGACTACTAGGATAGAATACTTTTCTAATTCCTTAAGCTTAGCAACGTCAAAGGACTCATCCCAGCCGACATCAACCAAAACTTTAATACCTCCATCTAGCTCAAGGATAGATTGCGACGCGGCTGATTCTGATAGCGCTCCCTGTAATGAGCTAAAGGTAAACATGACTGCGTCATCGTATTAGGAGGCCTAATAGATGGTTCTCTAGCACTCTTAGTGCTTGGGATGGTTGA